AGAGTAAGCGCTTCAAATGTGAAAAGCCAGCGACTTCTTTCGAGTTCAACTGTACAGGCTTTTTGTGTGTCTCTTATGCTAAATAAATTGAGAACCTTTTTGACACATCTATTTATCAATGTCAGCAGGTGCCAGAACCCGTTTTCACAGTCATGCATAATACGTGTTTTAACGACCTTTTCAAGGAAAAGCCTTGTGGATACTTTTTCCGGCAAAAAAATTACTGCATCTGACGATAAAACGCTAACGCTGCTCAATCAGTAATTTCGTGTTTGACTGCCGTCATTCACAATAGCGGACCTCTCAGGAAACAGACATTTACCTCAATGGGTTTGTGGCTCGTGATTATCAAATTTCGATCCATTTTGTTGTTGTTGTTGTTGATCTATTTTTCAATGTTCGTTAGTTGTCGCCGAGAATATTAGGTGCGGTTACGCGGGGCACTTTAACCACGGGAATCTGCATTTAGTATGTGTGGCCGACCTTTCCCGAGGAAAATTTTCCTTGATAAATATCCATGGATAAGTGAAAATGATCATAAGAAGCGCCCATGACATTTAAGTAAGTTACAATGGTGTTTTGATGCCCAATGTGCATGAGCCAATCACGATGCTCCGTTTGACTTCAACACATTGACACACGGAGCATACTCAAAAATAACGTCACATTTGCGCTTTGATAGGGTAAGTATTTGAAGGACTTACTTATCAAGACCCGAAAAAATAAGACCCCTGGTCTAATGAACTGCGGCGTTGTTCCCTCCATAAGAAGTATAAAAAAGCTTCCTATTAGCATGGCACAGCAAGAGAGTACATGAAGATTAACCTAATAGAGTTAATCCCTCATGTAGGCCTTATTCCTACAGTAATTACATTTAAGCTATTTTTGGATTAATCCCGGCTTCAAAAATCTCAACAGGGTTCTAGAGATAGCCATACCCCATTGAGGTTCATTGACACCCTCTGTGAAGGTGCACACAATCATGAAAGGGGAATACAAGCTCCGTAAAAACAAAATCTGTGACAGCTCTTTTTTGTCGGCAAACTAAATGATCGATGTATTAACGCGTGAAAAAAACAAAACAAAACAAAACAAAAACAAAAACAAAAACAAAAACAACAACGAAAACAACAACAAAACAAAACAAAAAACAGGCAGTGTCCGCTTAATACAGGTTTCTAACAATAGAGATGACCATAACAGTCAAGTTTAAGGTGTCCTTGTTCGCTTAATAGAGGTGTCTGTTGAATACAGGTATTTGTTGCAGTTAACTTGAGGGGAAAGAAATGGGACTTGTGCTGCTGTCAGCTTATAGAGGGTGTCCGCTCAATATGGGAGCCGCTTAATACAGGTTTGACTGTAGATTAAAAGTCAGGGGAAATGGATAGCTGACTTCGTCATCGACGAAAATTTCATAAAACGGCAAGTCGTACAATGACTTTTTTTCTGTCATACAAAGCCAGGAAACTAAGCTGCAAACGTTTCAGTTCAAGATTCTCCATTGGAGAAGAGACGGATTCGGCTAACTTGTTTATATCCTTTTTGCCACCCAGTTCAGATCATGTGACGATTCATTTGCG